AAGAATGCTGCGTTGCACTAAAAACATCAAAAATTTAGATTTTTCAGTAAACATATAAGGATATCCGCGCGACGTTTAGCGTTTATTTCACATAAACGTATTAGATCAAATATTTGGTTATTTACAATCGATATATCTACCACTGCCACGTCCTTATGTTTTGTTTCATCTATTAATTTATTATTTAAAAACTATGTTCTGAAATTACTAAAATTACCAAGAACTCAAAACTGAGTTGCTCGTGTATTTTTTTTTATAGGATAGGGTGACAAACGAGCACAGAGTTCACCTGATGGTAAGTGGTTGCTGTGGCCCAAAGACATCTACATCTATCCTCTTTTGCGAATCAAAATGCAGATGCGTTGTCAGCCGTGAGGATTAAGATGGAATGCCTCTTTTTCAGTAAAAAGGCTCTCCGGTTCTCTACACTCACCATACGAAATACAGCAGTGTTAAGCTGCTATTTTACGGTGGTATTCTGTGAGAGCGTGGTCCTTCTCCGGTCGAGCCGACCCATTCATGCTACAACTATACTACCAATATAGCTGCAGCATGGCTCTACCACGTATACGTATTGTAGAATACAGAGTGTGCGTAGTCCCTGAGCTACCAGAGCTCCAGGAGATCAATAACTATTCAATATCAATATTATTATTAATCTCTTTGTTGGTTATAAATAATATATGCAGATATAACAGTTAATTGCGATTGTATCGCTTCACGGTCATATCTCCTGACCACAATTAATGTCTTCTGTGTATGCCCCAGTTTAATCATTATTTATTTGAATAACAGTACGCAATGGAATAATTCCGTGTTTTAATATGAGGTACATATTAAAACGTGTGATTGTTGTGTTTTTATTTATAACTAGCTGTTCCCCGCGATTTCGCCCGCGTGTAGTTTAGGGTTTTAATTTTTTTTTTGCGCGGAACCCCAATTCTTTTTTTAAAATAAAAGTAGCCTAAGTTACTCCTTATGACGTCAGCTATCTGCCAGTGAAAGCCCGATAAAATCGGTTCAGCCGTTTCAGAGATTAGCCGAAACAAACAGACAAACAATTTTTTTAAATTGTATGTTTGTTATAATTACCGTATATATTTTCATATGCTTTGAGTAAAAAGCTATAATATTGACATTAAAAACAGACACTTCAATTTTATTTATTGGAACGAAGTTCCTTATCGGACGGTACCAATTTGGCGGATTGGGGCTAATCGAGAAAAAGTGTAAGACTTTTCCGTCACGACCCCTTCTGACGTAGTGTAGACAGATTTGGCGGCTATAAGAAAGCGAGATGGATTTCATGGGTTTTAAATTTTTACGCGGAACCCTAATTCATTTTCTAAAATAAAAGCAGCCTATGTTACTTTTTATAACATCAGCTATCTGCCAGTGAAAGTCCGCTCAAAATCCGTGCATCCGTTTTAGAGATGAGCCGGAACAAACAGACAGACAGACAGACAAATAAACGCTAGTAATTCATTTATCTGTATTTGTTAATTAATAATACTTAAGTATAATATGTTTATCAATAAACTAGCTGTTCCGCGCGACTTCGCCCGCGTGTAATTTAGGGTTTTAATTTTGTTGCGTGGAACCCTAATTTTTTCTAAAATATAAGTAGCTTAAATTATTTGTTATAACATGACCTATCTGCCCGTGAAAGTCCCATCAAAATCGGTCAAGCCGTTGCGGAGATTAGCTGGAACAAACAGACAAACAGACCGACAGACAGACAGATAAACAGAGAGTCAAAAAAACTAAAAATTGTGTTTTTGTTATAAGTACCGCATGTACTTTCATATGCATTTAGTAAAACGCTGTTATTTTGACATTACAATTATTACATTTTATTTATTTGTATAGATGACGCTTCATTTTAATAGACGCTAGTAATTAATTTATTTGTATTTGTCAATCAATAATACTTAAGTATAATACGTCTATCAATAAATAATATACTACGAAGGGAACTTCGTTCCAACTGACTGTTCCACGACACTCACGCATTATTTTTTGTATAGATATAGTTGACATGGTATAGATATATTTAAGGCCGTCCCTAAAATTCAGGAGTTGTTTGTACCGCAACATTTGGAGTTATATTATATTTAATTGTCTGCGATTTTGATTAGGTGGTAGGTGGTATTACTTTTCGGCCTTGAAGTCCGTATGTGTTGGTACCACTCTCTTGTCTTTGTTTGTCGCCAAATAGTTGTGCTTACACTATTGTGTTCCGATCCGAAGAATGTAGAGAGCCACAATAACTACAGGCTGTGGAGGCACACTGTTTCTCGATACCGGTTTTGTTCAGATGTCAGTTATTGCTGAGCAACAATTGACCATCTTGAAGGAAACTATCAAGAAACGCACTGTACTTGTACATAAAATGCAACACAAAGTATCTATAAATGCACTGTGTTTTGAAATTCCCGCCCTAGCTTCTACTGCCTAGTTTTCGTGGGCGTTGTATAGATGGCGCCGGTTGCCAAGGAAAAATTTCCTCATAAAATTTGTATGGAGTTGTTATTCTTCCCCTTTAAGGATATATATGTTCTGTGGTGAGGCATTATTTGTTAGCAATCAGAGTTGATAACGCATCACCTTTTTTGCTTAAAGTAGGTTGCATTTGTCTATGGACTGCAGTCTGCAGTAGCAGCTTACCATCAGGTGGATTTTATGACAAAATGTGATCCCGTAGATAACCCTAACGGTAATTAAAAAAAAAAATTGACCAAAACCAGTTTTAGCTTTTGCATCTAATTTTTCGACTAATCTAGACTTTGGCGTTTTGAAGAGCGTAAAATTGTGAATGTTTTTTTTTTGATTCTAAAGGAAAACAACTCCAACAAACTGGTATTAAATAAATCGTAGGTACTTCTTTAATTCTTTTTTAAATTACGCATTAAATGACAACTAATTAAGGTTCTTTGTACTTGTGCCCATTTTTATAAATGTTTCTTAATTAATTTGATCCGAGTTTTAAAGATAAAGAATAATATTATGTAAGTACTATGGAAACTTTTAAATTTAAAAATTAATAAACTTAATTAACAGGTGTATATTATTAGTTTCTTTGTGTAAGAATTTATTTTTTGTAAAATTAAACAAACCAACATTTAAACAAAAAAGAATATGGCGGACAATAAGAAAGCGATACTGACGTCATTTCTAGTCATTGATATACAAAAAACCCTTTTGTATATCAATGTTCCCAGTACTGTTTTTTGTAAAACTATTGTTTCTTACGTAGGTGCAGTTCTTTGAAAATGGAATAATAAAAAGAATGAAACACATATAAAGACATATACGTAAATAAATATATAGGTATTTACGTATTATATGTTAAACAGACATAATTGACACAAAAACATTCTAGAAATTGTTAATTAAAATGCTTTTGGAAATAACCTTTTCTTACAAAATTGTTACGATGGAGAAATACAGGTACCCGTTAAACGATCCATTCCATATCAGTGAAGTGTCGAGGTAAGTGAGTGTGAGTAGTTACGAGTGCATATGTAAACTGTTTACATTTTTTCTCTGCAATGAATTCAAAGTTAAATCAACATTTATTTCACAGATCATGTTGAAATAATTGTTATCATTAAAATTAAAAAACACGCTTTCGTATCTGTTATCTGATCCTCAGCACCGTAATCGTATGAGACGAATAATTCTGATCGAAACATGGAGGACGAAAAAAACTGATGGAAACACAATGGCGGGGGAAGAGTCTCCGAGGGTGTGAATCTTGGGAGTGTGGTGACGAGGGTTGCGTATCGTACACTCAGAATTACTAAACAGTAATTGCTGAAGGTTATACATGTATACGTACCAACATTGGCACATCCCGATAAGGGGATGGAGGCGATGTATGAGGATACATTACATACAATAGCAATACATTCGTCTAAAAATCAATACACGGTGTTTATAGGAGACTTTAACGCAAAACAAATGTTTCCAAACAGGTGTTGTTAGAGTTACGTTTATTTTGTTCTTCTTTCAAAATTCGTTAGACGTAATCTAAAACGGAATTAAAAATGGCGCGTAATTCTGTGCGCGATCAGCTGCTTTTAATTTGTAAACAACGCCATATTGTTTTTGCGAAGCAAGCGGTTGAATTACAAAGAATTGGATTTAACAAAACTAGGCACAAGGAAAGACGACGGGCTGAGAATTGTGCTATTTGGGATCGGAGAACTGAACCAATTTCAACATCAATTTCTTTTTTATTCTCTTTTACTGCCTATCAGTCTACTTCTGAACATATGCCTCCCTAAACATCGCCTTATAAGGGGGTATACTTGCTAAACATTGCCATTCATTTGCATTGCTTGGCAATTAAATTAGTGATAGCAGCACTGCATATGTCCCGCACCGGTGACTTACCGTTACAGCCTAAAGTCCACTGCTGAACATAGGCCTCCCACATAGATTGCCTCATAGGAGAGATATTTGCAAAAGGTGCCAAGCGTAGCATCTCTCCTTATCTTGTCCTTCAGTTTATCTCCTGCTATGTTTCTATCTATCGCCTTTTACGACACCCACGAGATGATAATATGGGGTAGTTCTTCCACCGGAACCACCGATAACTACTCTAATCGAATATGAAATATTTCCATCCCATGGTCTCATGTTGGTTTAGGATAAGAATCCCATGTTTATGTGTCACTCATAACAAAAATGAATGTGCTAACTGCGTTACTTGCTTACTATGTTGTAAAAGCCAACTGAAAGGGAATCTAAAACCATATTTTTTGACTAAACGTGGTTCAAGTTCAACTAGTTGCTTTTTGGTTTTTATTTGGATATTTTATTGTTTGGCAAAATGCTTAATTGAACCTATCAGATGCTTTCAAATTTTAATAGCAGTTCCCTACGGCAACCTTTATGACATTATTATATATACAGCAAAATATACATATATATTTCACTTCCGCCATCATAAGTTAATATAATATAATTATCAAAAAATCTTTAAAATAACTCACCCAAAATCTCCTCAATCCAATAGCAGGAAACGTAGAGGAAAATGGCAACACCCAGCCAGAATCCAATAAGTAGGACTAAAAGGTATTCCAACATCTTCAATGTTTCATCTTGACAAATATTACTGACACGGATTAACTCTGCACTATTGCACTTTTAATATACTTAGACTATTTTTGCAAGATTTGGTTATGAGTTTACATTATATTTAATAAGATTAATTTGGTTTAGATATAGTGTAATGTATACGTCAGTTCTGTAAAGATTTGAGTCAAATCCATTAGCTTAAAGATAAGGAGAAAATGAAAGGTATTAAGATTTATACTTGAAGAGGATGGAAGAGGTGGATATACATCCCTCTAGCATTTGAATGCCCTCTCGTGATGGATTAATTAAAATTTAGGGCGTTTTTCTAAATTATTAAACACGTTGTCATTAAATTCAGAAACCACGCTTTCACAGAATACCACCATCAAATAGCAGCATAATGCTACATGCTACTTATTGTGTTTCGTACGACAAGTGAAATTGTAGACTCTTTAAATTTTAAATTGCCTTTTAGTGGCTCTAGTCCTCCTGGGTGATAACGCACTATGGGTTAAATTTATAGGCGATAGTTCTATTAAATGTTTCCAAACAGCTGTTGTTAGAGGTGTATTTTGTTCTTCTTTCAACGTTAGAAGTAATTTAAAACGGAATTAAAAATGGCGCGTAATTCTGTACGCGATCAGCTGCTTTTAATTTGTAAACAACGCCATATTGTTTTTGCAAATTGAGCGGTTGAATTACAAAGAATTGGATTTAGCGGTAAGCGGTAACATTTTCCATTACTACCAAGTTTATTGAAACATGTACACCTAATTTATTACGCTTGAGAGCATAATAAAGATATGCTTTATTTATGTGGTTTGGGATTGGTCCTCTGTATCAAGAAATCTAGCCATTGAAAACATCGACATTGTTTTGTGTAATAGTTAACAAAATATATTATATACGACCATAAAAACGTCTATTGCAGATTAATAAATTTATTTACATCATAGGTTTTTTTTATGGGATAGGGTGACAAACGAGCACACAGTCCATCTGATGGTAAGTGGTTACTGTGACCCATAGACATCTACATCTATCTTCATTTGCGAATTAAAATGCAGATGTGTTCTCAGCCGCGAGGATTAAGATAGAATGCCTCTTATCCAGTAAAAAAGGTCTCCGGTTCTCTACACTCACCATACTAAACACAGCAGCATTAAGCTGCTATTTTACGCTGGTATTCTGTGAGAGTGTAGTCCTTCCCCGGTCTAACCGTGTTACGTGTTACAACTTTACTATTAATATAGCTGCAGCATTGCTGCTTTCATGCTTAAAGCAGGTAAGGCAGCCGGATATGATAGAGTAATAATAAAAATAAAATATAAATAAAAAGGGTTATTATAATATTAAGGAATTTATGGATGATAATAACCCCTGGGAATGAGGTGATCGCTACCAAGCTATTTCTAATTTGTTTGTGTGGTTAATTGTGTAACATACATGATTGTAAACTGTTATTTAAAAAAAAGTCCCGCTGGCTTTCTTCCTAGTTCTTCCCAGGACAGAGGTTTTTTTCGAATCAGTGGTATTTAAACAAAAGAGTGACTTTCAATAAGTATTATTAATATTCTATATTGAATAAAAAAGTTTCTATTTCTGTTTCAGTATCACTCGAAATGCTAAGTGCTGGAAAGGGAATGGCGGCAAGCCTCTTGTACACCTTGTTTAATTTATACCTGAAGACTGGTGCAAAGCCGTTTTAGTCCCAATATATAAGGGAAAAGGGTCACAAGGACTGTAAAAACGACCGTGGTATCAGCTTGCTTAGCATTGTGGGTAAACTGTATGCTAAGGTGTTAATTGAAAGAGTTATGGAAGAAACTGATGGAAACATTTGGGATGTGCAAGCTGGATTTAGAAAGGCAATGGGGTGTACGAATCAAGTCTTTTCCATGTGCATGATCGCGGAGAAGTTTTTGGCCAAAAAACAGAAAGTTTTTGTGCGTTCATGGACTTGGAAAAGGTTCATGACAGAGTGGATAGCAATGTGTTATGGAAAACACTGAACTCATTTGGGTTGAGCGCTGCTTTGATACAGGCATTAAGGTCTCTTTATAGGGACTCTAGTGCATGTGTCAAGATAAACGGGATCTAATCAGAGTGGTTTGGCATCCAAAAAGGTGCCAGGGCTGTGTAGCTTCGCCGTGGCTGTTTAACCTGTTTATGCACAGTTTTTTTATAGGATAGGGTGAAAAACGAGCACACAGCCCACCTGATAGTAAGTGGTTGTGTTTCGATAGCAGTGTTAAGCTTCTATTTTACGTTGGTATTCTGCGAGAGCGTGGTCCTTCCCCGGTCGAGCCGACTCATTCGTGATACAGCTATACTACCAATATAGCTTGGCTCGTGCAAAAGTTTGGGAACCTTGAAAGTTGATGAACGTGGGTTGAGAATGGGTGAGTTAACCGTCAAATGCTTATAATTTTATATACAAACAGAATGCACTGAATCTAAATTCAAAATTTATTGCACTATTTGCAAATTGTATGTGTATAAAATATAGAGGTATTTATAAGTAATCCATATAATGTTACAAGCATTAGATTAAGAGTAGTAGGACTCCCGAACGAAAACCCGGAGTCCTCTACACCCTCTATAAAATTAAGGACAAAGTAAATAAAAACCAGAATTTAAGTCCATGTCAAGCTGACAATGTCTCTGACCTCCATGTCAGAGGGAACTGTATTAGAGGGAACTGTACTGTATTAGAACCTACTTTAATGTATGGTAGTGTAAGTTGGGTCTGGCAGAAGAAGCACGAGAGTGGAATAAATGCGGTCATTAAGGAGTATGCTAGGGCTGAATCTGAATAACAGGGTGAGAAATAGTGTGATAAGAGAAAAGTGTGGTTTGCAAGATGACGTTGTGACAAGGATTAAGAAAAGAATGCTTCGATGGTTTGGTCATGTAGAAAGAATGAACGAAGAAAGAGTGACAAAGCACATTTATATTGCAGATGTGAAGGGCGAGAGTCGGAAAGAGACGCCCTAGCCCTAGACGAAGGTTTATCGACCAAATTGGCGGTATATTGAAAATGGGCCAGATTAGATGTACCCTTAACCGACGGGCGTGTATGCGTAGATATATAGAATGTAAAGGAGGCAAGAGATGTGTGTCAGGATCGTGCCAAATGGAATAGAATAGTACATAATAATTATTGAAAGTCATTTTTTTTACTTTTACCACTGGTTCGCAAAAAAAAACCTCTCTCCTGGGAAGGACCAGCAAGAAACCCAACGGGACATTTTTTTTAAAAGCACAATTTACAATATAATATTTTATACAATTATTATGAAAACATTTAGAAACAGCATGGTAGCGATCACCTCATTCCCCTGGGAATTATCATCAGTCATGTACTCTTTAGTAGTATAATAACCCTTACTAGACAATTTTTGATTAATAAATAATTTAAACCTTTTGATATAAATGGTCTGCATATTCTATAAAAAGTCCGCAGTCTCTGCATAACCCTCTAGGTGACAGGCGTGAGTGATTATATTTGTATGTATCATTATGTAAATTTATTTATTAATGTGGATTGTCTTACGGGACGAAATGAGGTGACAGATTTGTTTGAATGTCATTCTCACTAACTACAGCCCACTAGTCCACTTCTCAACATAAACATCCTCCATATCCCACTCTTGTCATTGTTGCAACGATTTTTTTTATTAGTCGATATTAGGAAAATATTGCTGCGAACCTTTTGTCTGTCCCTTGACCTATCTTCTTTTTCAGTTTCCTTCTGCCTCCTCGTACTATACACCCAAGGGATGATGGCGTATAGGATTCTATCACATTGCCGCTACACTTACTTTTTTTGTTTAAATATATTACTAGAAATTCAGTTTTTTTGTTTTAATATTCGTATTTCTTAAATCGTGGACTATAAAATTCAGCGTACGTACAATTGTTTCGCCTCGGCAAACACTACTCCACAACCATTCGAAAGTAAGACGAATGATTTGTGTTTAAAAAATGCTTGCCGGTTCGTTTCCAGTGAATTTCCCAGATCTGAAACGATTAACGTTTTCAATAAAAAGTAATAGTCTACAAGCATTTCATTGCTAGGTTAAGTTTTACGCTTATTGCGGTAAATGAAATATTTTCAACCTACTTCTAAATTGTAATTCGTAACTTTTCTCCAATATGTTTTGGCACAGTCTTAAAATACTCTCTCATTAGCTTGTAAACAGTCCGATTCTGGACGTGGACCTATCCCATAGCAACCTGCTGCAGCTGCATCTGCTGTTGATTTGGGAACGTTATTTCTAGTGTAAATTCGAGACCTCATTACGTCCCGTGGGTATCGTAAGAGGCGATTAGGCAATAACATAACGTATTGGCGTTTATCGTTGACATCATTCTTATTTTTTCTATCGACTTCAAAAAGGAGACGGTACTCAATTCGACTGTATGTTTTTTTATGTATGTTACTTTATAACTTTTTACTGAATGTACCGATTTCGATGATTCCTTTTTCATTTGAAAGCTGGTGCTTCACATGTGGTCCCATATAAATTTGATTAAGGTCTGACTAATAGTTTTTGAGTTATTCTTGATAATTTATATTGAAGTCGGTTGTACAAAATTTTTAATTTTAAATTATTACTAACTCGCTTTCGTGCACTTATGTCTGTTCGGGTCAAATTTAATAATTGATTTTAAACTAACTTCCCGACTCATCGGAAGATTTCACTCACTAGAGATTTGAAATTTTGAACATAGCTCAGAATCGAATATCAAATATCGGATATTGGATAAAAAAGCGTGATTAAAAATAAAGAAATTTTCGAAAATCAAGTTATTATAATAATTATTATCAGGGTTAAACTAGAAACTGTTTCAATAATTAAGTCCATCGAAGAATATGACGTAAAACTTAAATTATGGAATTTAACAATATTATCAAATAACGCAAAGACTGTGGCGCTGCGGCTAAGGGACTTCTGTCGTGAATTCCCTTCTTAAACCATAGTTGAAGCCCCAGCTATCAATAA